TGTTAAGGTGGAAATTTATTGATTTTAGATCCTTCTGTTTTTCAAATATATGTATTTCATGCCATCAGTTTCTCTGTAAGCTTTGCTTTAGCTGGATCTCACAAAGTTTGATGAGATGGGGTTTTATAGTCTATTTTTAAATTCTTTAGCTTTCTCCTTTGACTTGTGCTTTATTTAGATGTATGTTATTTAAGCTCTGTGTATTTGAAGACTTTTGCGTTACTGATGGCTAGTTTACTTCTACTGTGGTCTGAGAACAGACATTTTATAATTTATATTCTTTTAAATTTGTTAAGGTATGTTTTCTGTTTTGAGAGCATACTTTTTCATTGTTCCATATGAGCTTGAGAAAAATGTAATCTGTTGTTGGAAGTAGTTTGTAGATGTCAATTATATGCAGTTGGTTGATCCTTGTTCAGTTGAATTGTGCCATTACTGATTTTATGCCTATTGGATCTGTTAATCTTTGAGTTATGTTGCATTCTACGCCTATTATAATGGATCCATCTTTTTCTTCTTGCAGTTCTATTAGTTTTTGCCTCACATAGCTTGAAAGTGTTGGGCACATAAAATGTTAAGGATTGTTGGGGCCGGGAGGTGGCATAGTTGAAGGACCCTGGACTCCCACATGGCTGACTGCAGTTCAAGTTCTGGACTGGCTGTCTTGTTTTCTCACTTTTTCTTTCTCTCTCATGCTCTATCCCTCTCTAGTCAAGTAAAGTAAATAAATAAATGTAACAGTAACAATTCTTTTTTTTTTTTTTTAAAGTTGAGTGTTATATATTCTTGGGGAATTGACCACTATGTCATTTCATTATGTAATGCCTTTCTTTCTTTTTAATATTTAAATAATTTTTTAAAAATTGTATGTATTTATTTACTTATTATTACTATTATTAATTTGACCAGAAAGAGAGGAAAGGTGTGAAAGAAAGCCAAGTCCAGGACTCATACTGCAGTCAGCTATGTGGGAGTCCAGTGCCTCAACCACTGTACCATCTGCCAGCCTTGTGCCCTTATGGATTTTGATAGCTGTCCTTGCTTGGAAGCCTGCTCTCTCTGAAATCAATATATTTATTCCTTCTTTCTTTTGATTCATGTTGCCATACTGGGTTTTTGGAAAAATCATTATGCACTTTTTACTAGGAAAATATAAATCATGATTTTTCTGACAACCCAGTATTTTTTTCCCATCCATTTACTTTTTATTTTTTTGAAGGGGTTTTTGCTATAGGGCACATGTGCTTGCCAGAAAGATGAGAGACAGAAAGCATGAAATCACTCCCCGGGGGCATGGCCACGCCACAATCCCTTCTCCATTCTCCTCTCAGGATCTTGGGCATGCACGCACACACGTCCAGCATGAGTTTAAGCCACCGGGTCCAGGAATCAAACTGCAGTCAGCTACATGGGAGTCCAGCTACATAGCAACTGTTGGTCCCATCTATCTGTTTACTTTTTAAATTCATATATCTGTTGATGTTTAAAGCGGGTTTCCTGTAGACAGTATATAGTTGGGTGTTGATTTGTTTTTGTATACTATCTAGTTTGTCCACTAGACCCCTAAGGATATTATTATTATTTTTTTTTAATTTTCTGTCTGATTGTTCCCACATCCTTTCCATGCTTGATTATTATGCTTCCTCTGGGACTTCAGATTGTTTTTGTCTTTTAGTATACCTTGTAATTTTTTCCTCAAAGTGTGACATAATGTATCAAGTAAACAGAAGTCTTATAAATATGCACTTAATAGTGTAGTAAGGAATGGGGGAGGGTAAGGAGACTGAGTAATTCATAAACATTAGACATTGTTGAAAAATGTGGAGTCTCAAAAGTCTGAGATCAAGGTGTAGGCGACTTCAGTATCTATTGAAGAGCTACTTGTAGATAGCACCTACTATGTATCTTCATATGTTGGAAGGAATAAAGAATCTTCATTGGGCTTCTTTTATAAGGGCTATAATCCCATTCATGAGGGCTACTCTTTTGTGACCTAATTACCTTACAAAGACCACTCCCCCCACACACTTCTTATTACTATTGCACTGGTGATTAGGGTTTAGCATAGGAATTTTGGGGGGGATACAAAATAGCAGAAGTGTTCTTTTGAGGGGCATGCCGGTGGCGTGGTGTTTAAGAGTGCTGGACTTCCACATGTTTGACCATGGTTCGAGTCCTGTACCTGGCAGCTTGCTTTCTCTCTCCTTCTGTCCCTCTCTGGTCAAATTAAAAAACAAACAAACATTAAAACAAACAAATCATAGAAGTTAAATTCTTTTTTATTTTTTTTTAAAGAAGTCTTCTGTTGGGACCAGCAGTTAGCGTAATGGGCTATGTCTCTGGACTCCCATGTAGTCGACCGCGGTTCGAGTCCCGGACCCAGTGGCTTAAACTCACGCCAGACGTGTGTGTGTGCGTGCATGCCCAAGATCCTGAGAGGAGAATGGAGAAGAAGGGATTGCAGCATGGCCATCCCCCCCTAGGGGGGGGGATTTCTCGCTTTCTGTCTCTCTGTTTCTGTCTGGCGAGCGCACGCACACTATAGCGAAAACCTCTCAAAAAAAAAAAAAAGTGTTCTGTTGATCTATTATATTCTTTTAGTGAACCTCTGCCTTTGGGCTATGACCTTTACAAATATTTCTCAGTTTTTTCTTCTTCCCCTTTAGCTGGAACAGGATGGCTGGACTTGGCTGGTGCCGGGCATTTTTCTTCTCCCGTGTGGAAGGCTAGAATGGGCTCGATTTGGTATTTCCTTTCCCCAGGTCATTTGGACTTGATAGTACTACACCAGGTGAGGCTCTGGTTAAATAGTTTCTCCTGAGGGCAGACCTTATTAAGAATAGAGTGCTCTGTCATATTTCAAAATGCTTTGCCTTCGCCCTCTCTGGAAAGACAAAGAGCTTGATTGAGCTGCTGATGGTAAATCTCACCAGATTATAGAGGCCTCCCTACAACAGGGTCCCCTGGGGTTTTTAACTGGGTTTTTAACTCAGTTGTCCACAATGAGTATCCAGCAATTCATCAGTTATAATTTAGAATTTTCTACTTCAGCACTGGTTCCCATAAAGGTTTCTTTTTCTTTTTATCTTAAAAAATTATTTAATTTTATTTATCATTACTATTTTAAAATTTGCTACAGGGCATGTTTGACCATCTGAGAGAGAGAGAGAGAGAAAGAGGGACAGAGAGGGTGGGGGTAAAGCAAGCCACCAGGTCTAGGTCTGAGTGGCTCCAGCCGAAGTCCAGCACTTCAACCACCATGGCACTTGCTGGTCCTCCCATTAAAGGTTTCTACTAGTGAGTAAAGACCATGACTCCTGTACTCAGCTGTCTCTGCAGTGTTAATGGGCAACCGTTTGTCTTGTATCTTCCCTTCCCTTTTAGATCCAAGATGATTTGTTGATTTTTCAATCTCTTTAGCTTTTTATTTGTTATTAGGATGGAAGTGATGACTTCCAAACTTTTTACACATGGAACTGAAAACTTGAGTGGTATTTTTCTAAAGTACCTTCTCAAGTTCCACATGGATAATCAAATTTTTTCCACAGAATTGTGAAGATGATTAATTATATTAGTATACTTCTTAATATTTAGCTTTCTTTTATTTGTTGAATAAACTTGGAAAATTTCATCTTAGACTTGTGTTTTATTTCTTCCATCAGTAAATGTTAGAGTTTTTTTTGAGATTTAACACGTTCATTTTTTTCCTTCTTCAGTCTTTTAGGTTCTATTCAGTCCTTTTTATTCCCTTTGAGATTTCAGACACCACTGAAATTTTACTTTCCAAATCTTCATCTTCAGTAGAACTCTCTACTGAACTCTGAAATCATATATCTTACTGCCAGTTGGACATGCTACATATTTGACCATGGATATTTAAAATGTGACATGCTCAATTCTATGTCACTTCTGCCCATTCATCCATTTTCAAAATTCCATTTTATAGCACCAGTATCTAAATAGCTATGATCATGCAAATCACTTGCAAGTAGAACTCTCTTATCTGCACAGCAATTGAGTACCACATTCCGTTCCTGTTTTTCTTTTCTTACTTCCCTATTCTATATTCCTCTGCTTGGTGTCCTCACATGTATGATCATGTCTCACTCTGGTTTCTTCCCCTCTAACTCTACTTCCTCATTCTCTTCTTAGGGGGTAAATGTTAATATACAGATCTGGTTATGTAACTTACTTGTTCTTACAAGATTTCATTGTTCCCACCCTGCGGTTTGGGAAGTGACAGTGTTTATTCTTTGGCATATAACAAAATTTGGGGATTCCTTTGTATATATTTTTAATTTTTAAGTAAATAAAAAGTGACAAGTATGTAACAGTTATTGTTATGAAAATTAGATCCAATACCAGAGTACAGAATTACCCCATAGTACATTGCTTTCATACATTGTATTAGTCTCTCATCTCAGCCCAAGATTTTTCACCTGAACTTGGTTCTATGTGAAGTTCCATTAACAGAAAGTGTTTTTTTGTATCTTGCCTTCTGCTGTTGTGTAATATTTATAAAAACACCTTAAACCTTCTCCACATTGAAAAACTAAAACCTCATTTTTTTTTTTTAGTGAAGTGAAATTTCAGAATACAAAATAGAGCTACAGTTTTCTTTTATTTAAGCTCCAATGTTCATTGAACTTGTGTCTAAATTAGTTCATCTTGCATATTATTCCAGGTATGATTTTTATGCTTATGTATTAATATTAGATCATAAGTTTTTTTAGAAGAACAAGATTTTTTTATACTTTATCCCTACCAACAAGGACAGTCCTAGATCTATAAGGTCAACTTTATAATAATGTTTTCAGTAATTAGTAAGTTACACTGTCACGGTATTTCTACTACAGTTTTTCTTCTGTCATCTACAGTACAAAGCAATCTGCATCTCGTATAAAATGCATATGATACATGCACACACATACAGATCAACTCCTGGATTCCTGTTCTTGCAACCTGGGGCTGATGAGTTGGGGAGAAATGTGTTATTACAGGGTTTGGTGTCATTTGAGGACGTGGCTGTGAACTTTTCCTGGGAGGAGTGGCAGGACCTGGATGATGCTCAAAGGACCTTGTACAAAGATGTGATGCTGGAGACCTACAGCTGCCTGGTGTCCTTGGGTGAGCAAAACTCAGTAATTCACAGGAGCAATGTTTTCTTCTTTGTTGGCTACTATAAAAGCAATTTATAAGGCCTAGTGTTATTTGGGTGTAAAGTTCTAGTCTGTGAAGAGTTTGTCACCATTATTTTCTATTATTAGGGCACTGCATTACCAAACCTGAGGTGATCTTCAAGTTGGAGCAAGGAGCAGAACCATGGATGGTAGAACACTCAAAGCATAACCTTCCAGGTTAGCACATACTGGACAGGAAGCCTGGAAGGGTAAAGTCCAGCAGATGTTCGCACTGTTATTTAGCTGTGCTCACTAATTTTTCTCCACATCCCAGACTTGAGGACAGGTCTGCTTGCATCAGTCATGTGCATTATATAGTCCTGAAGGAGAGATTTCATGCATATGCCCCTGCCTTTTATTTTGCTGTTTTCTCCTATATACCCAAAATTTAATTCCTGTCTTCCTCTGAGTTATTTTTCTTTGCTGTTCACTTTTTTTACATTCTCAATTCTCTTCCTTTACTCTCCTGGATTTTTTTTTTTCAGACATTTATTCGTACATTAATTATTTTACTACATTTTAATCAAGTAGGTTTTAAGCACTGGTAATTTCATAGTTGGACTTATAACAATAGTGATAAAAATAATGTTTCTCTTGGGGCCAGCATAGCAGGTGGCAGTGGTTAAGGCACTGGATTCCCAAATGACTGACTGTGGTTCAAGTCCTGGATCCAGCAGCTTAACACTCACACTAGGCGCATGTGCATGTGTGCCCAAAATCACGAGGCGAGAATGGAGGAGAGGGGATTTCATTGTAGCCATTCCCCTGAAGAGTGATTTTTCACTTTCTTTCTCTCTATCTCTGGTCTTGGCAAGCACATGCACCCTATAGCAAAAATCTCTCTAAATAAAACAATGTTCCTTGTTCATAAGGTTTGCTATGATGATGCAGAAGGAAGAAATAAAATATATTAGGTAAAAACCAGGAGGAATATTTAAAGAGAGAGGAAAATATGAGTGTTACCTTGGCATCACTACAGGTTCACTTACTCCTTTCAGAATTTGACATATAATACATAGGTTATTGTAAAGTTCAGAGTAAAGAGTGGACATCATGATGGAGATACCAATTTAGGAAATGGTAATTTAAAGCTAGCATTTAAAATCATTTTGAGGGATCAGCTCTGTGGCTTAGCAGAGCATGTGCCCAAGATTTGACAGGCTGGAGGAAAGGAGGAGGAGAATTGTGTTGTGATCAGACCCTTGGAGGGTGCTCATTCTCTCTCATTCTCACTCTTGTGTGCATGTATAGATGCTCTATTGTGAATAAAGCAAAACATTATTTTAAGATTATTTTCTCGGGAACCAGCAGTTAGCATAATGGCTATGTCGCTGGACTCCCACATAGTCAACCGCGGTTCGCATCCCGCGTCCCGGACCCAGTGGCTTAAAACTCACGCCGGGCACGTGTGCGTGCATGCCCAAGATCCCAAGAGGAGAATGGAGGAGAAGGGATTGCGGCGTGACCATCCCCCCGGGGGGTGATTTCTCGCTTTCTGTCCCTATGTCTCTGTTTGGCGAGCTCACGCGCCCTATAGCAAAAACCTCTCCAAAAAAAAAAAGATTATTTTCTCATGGAGGTCTCCCAGGGAGTTGATAAATGCCCAGAATCATGTCTTTTATACTACTGCATCAGAAATCATGAAGCTGAAGAGAACTTAGGTTAAGTGCATGGAAGGTCCTGTGCTTGGTGGAAAAACGGAAAGATTCTGGATCTAAGGGCAAAAACACAAGGGTTTCATACTGAAAGATTCAAATATCTATTTGCATGTAGCATTTGAACTTAGCACTTTTTCCTTCTGTTGTTTGAAACAAAGCAAAGAGAAATATGTAGGAGACTGCATTTTTTTTTTTTTTTTTTTTACAAAAAGAGCCTGTGTGCCAGAGACTGGAGATAGTGTCAGGGCTGCTGACCTCAGAAACCAGTTATACACTTTTAAAAGATGATTTGCAGAACGTGGCTTTGTAGAACAACAGTTAGGTGTTGCTCACGATGGTAGACTGGAACCTCCTGTACCTGTTACAGTTCTGAGTAGTACAGGAATCTGTAAATTATTAATTTATCCTAACTTCTTGTCTAGCTTGAAAAAGAGATTTTTGTATTTGGGGAACCTCCCGCCTCCCAGATGCCTATAGCTGTTTCCTTGGAAACAGTTAATACCAAACAAACATAGCTGTAATAGTCTCTCCTAAGCTGTATTTCTGCTTAGGTAATCAGACGCATACTCATCTTCTGCACCCGCAGTTATCTAACCCAGAAAAACCTTGATATCTTCAAAACAGATTGATGAGGAAAATATTAACACAAGACACCAACAGCTGTTATAAGAATAAAATAGAGGCAGTTCAGTGACCAGCAGTTAGTGTAATGGCTGTGTCACTGATCTCCCATGTAGCCAACCACAGTTCGAGCCCCAGACCCGTTGCTTAAAACTCATACCAGGTGCATGTGATGTGTGCCCAAGATCCCAAGAGGAGAATAGAGGAGAAGGGATTGTGGCATGGCCATTCCCCTGGGGGGTGATTTGTCACTTTCTGTCTCTCTGTCTCTCTCTTTCTGGCGAGCACATGCACCCTATAGCAAAAACCTCTCCAAAGGAAAAAAAATGGAATAAAATAGAGAAAAGTAACAGGGAAAGCAAATGGTTTGTGATAAGCAGTTGGAAACTATGATGTGGCATGGGTAAATATTTTTGCCATAGGGCGGGCACCACCACGCCCTGCATGGGTAAATATTTTTGAAGAAAAGAAAAACATAGAATGCATAATAGTGTACAACTTACCATTCAAAACCTTAATGCAATTTATTGTTAAATCAGTAGAAAGAAAAAACATAATAGTTGGTCAATATCAATTACTGTTTGTTTTTTGTTTTGTTTTTAACATGGATAAGCAGATATTCCTTTACCTTTACATAAGCATTCCATAGGAATTGCTTGTGTTTGGTTCATGAATATGGATATTCTTTTTTCATTTCAGATGTCCAGTTAGATGATGATGTAATTGAGAGGAGCCAGGAAATTCACTGTAGACATTTGTGGCAAGTTGTAATCAACAACAGCAACACAACAACTAAGGAGAGAGTTGAATTAGAAACACCATTTAATTTCAGCTCAAATCATATTTCAAAACTGATTATAAGCAATGGGAATTATTCAGAAATGAGGCCTGAAGATGTTAGTTTTTATCAGAACATACTTTTTCCCCGTAATGATGAGGAAATGCATGCTGGAGAGAAGCATAATGACCATACCATAACTGGGAAATCCCTTAGACATTATGAACATCTTAGTGGACATCACAAGATTCAAACTGGGCTACACCATTTTGAATATGGTGGACAAAGGAAAGTGTTCAGTATGGATTCAGTATTAACAAATGAGGTTCATAGGAGAGAGCCCTGTAAATATATTGAATATGAGAAAGCCTGTCATATGTCAGCTTTCATTGCCCAAGAAACAACTCATGTACAAAGGAAATACTTTGAATGTAATGTGTGTGGGAAAACATTCTATAAACAGTATAAACTCACTAAACATCAGATAATACACACAGGAGAGAAACCCTACAAGTGTGGTGAATGTGAGAAGTCCTTCATTATGAAATCATATCTTACAAATCATCAGAGAACACATACATGGGAAAAGCCCTATGGATGTAAGGAATGTGAGAAATCCTTCTGTCAAAAGTCAGGCCTTATTATGCATCAGAGAATCCACACAGGAGAAAAGCCCTATGGATGTATCGAGTGTGGAAAAACCTTTTGCCAGAAGTCACACCTCAGGAGGCATCAGAGAACTCACACAGGTGAGAAACCCTATGAATGTAAAGAATGTAGGAAAGCTTTCACCTGTAAGTCAGCACTCATTGTACATCAGAGAAGTCATACAGGAGAGAAACCCTATGAATGTAAAGAATGTAGGAAAACTTTTAACAAGAAATCAGCTCTCACTGGTCATCAAAGAACTCACACAGGGGAAAAACCCTATGAATGTAAAGAATGTAGGAAAACTTTCTCCCGTAGATCAGCTCTCAGTGTACATCAGAGAACTCATACAGGGGAAAAACCTTTTGAGTGTAATGAATGTGGGAAAACCTTTTTCCAGAAGTCATACCTCAGCAGTCATCAGAGAACTCACACAGGTGAGAAACCATATGAATGTAAAGAATGTAGGAAAACATTCTACCATAAGTCAGCCCTCACTGTTCACCAGAGAACTCACACTGGGGAAAAACCTTATGGATGTAACGAATGTGGAAAAGCCTTTTGCAAGAAGTCAAATCTCAATGAACATCAGAGAACTCATACTGGGGTAAAACCCTATGAATGTAAAGAATGTAGGAAAACTTTCTCCCATAAGTCAGCTCTCACTGTACATCAGAGAACTCACACAGGAGAAAAACCCTATGAATGTAGTGAATGTGGAAAAACATTTCATCGGAAATCAAACCTTAGAAATCACCAGAAAACTCACAAGGTGAGTAACCATACAAAAAATGTAGGGAAACTTTCTTCCATAAGTTAATATTCACTGTACATAACAGAATTTAACATGGGGGGGGATGCATTATGAATATAATGAATGTGGAAAGTCCTTTTACATAAGTTATACCTCAGTAGGCATCAAGGAACTGACACAATGAAGTAATCTTATATGGCAGAGACTGGCTGGGTATCCTCCAAAACCCACTTTACTCTATGCACATGTGGCCTTCATTTCTGTACCTCTTTATTATGTGTGGTACCTTCTAACTGAACTCTGCAGTAGTATATGGATGCAAGTGATGATCATTACTTCCAGACCTGGCCCACATGACACTTTTATATATATATTTTCCCCCCCTACTTTCTGATGTCCTTTTGTACTGAAATACAGATGATCCCCCCTCCCCCACCGCAGGATGGCCCAGGGAGCTGTGGTTTGGTGAAAGTCATTGAGATTTAAGATAAAAGGAATTGATTGCAGAAATCAGAATTATTCTTACCTCTGTCCTCAAAGTCTCCATTTGTAGTTTACATCAATGAAAAATAAATACCTACTATGTTGAGGCATTGTGTGTTTGATCTGTTTGTATTACAACATAAACAGCCCACTGTAGCTAATTCACTTTATGAACATTTTGAGAGAAGTCACCAGTGTGTATTTCAAACAATTGAAATGCGAAAAATACTTGTACTTCCACCTTTTATCTCCAAGTTTGTGGGGAAAATAAGTAAAATGTAGAGAAACTAGGCAGCAAGTTGGAAATGTTATATTAGACAGGGATGTTTCATTGAACACTGAATTAAATAAATCTTTGTGTAAATACTTTTGGCAAACCTTTAATTAAAACTTCCTATTTTAATATATATCACAACTTATAATGCTAGAAAGACTCGGTTACATAATGTGAATGTAAAATTTCAGGTAAAAATGTTAAAATGTATTAATATAGATATTTGACTACTTACTAGTAGTTAAATATGAGTGTTTATGTTGCCGGCCAGGGGACGTTCGACTATGCCTAGGGATACTTTGGATCGTCATAAGTGGAGGGTGGAAGTTGCTATTAGCATCAATTATAATTGGTAGAAGCTAGGAATGCTGCTAATCAGCCAGTAGTATACTGAACAGCCACTTCAAGTACAGTTTATGCATATGAGTATTCTTTGTTAATCTAATTTTTCTCACTGGAATCTAGCATAAATGAGTAGAAAATAGGTACACTTGGTGTAATGTTGTGACCTAAATTGGAGTTTCCACATTGGGTGCCTGTTTGTGTATTGTTAAATACAGGCATACCTGAGAGAGATGATGTGTTAGGTTACAGATCACTGCAATAAAGCAAATATCACAATACAGGTAGTCATTCAACTTTAGGTTTCCTAGTGCATATGAAAATTATGTTTACATATTACTGTATTAAGCATGAAATAACATTGAGTTTTTAAAAATGTATATACCTTAATTTAAAAACATTGCATGGTGAGCCAGCAAGTAGTTCCTACATGGTCAACTGTGTGGTTCGAGTTTGAGACCCAGCAGCTTCAGAAATAGCAGATGAATGTGTATACATGCCCAAAGTCTTTCTGAGCAAATGGAGGAGAAGGGATTGCAGCATGGCCATCCCTCTCATGTGCTATCTTATTTTCCCTCTTTTTCTATCAAGTGCACATGCCTTGTAGTAGATGGAAAACACACACACACAACAACTTCATGGCTAAAACTTGCTAAGATCACCATGGCCCTCTCTGAGTCATAATCTTTTTTTCATAAAGGGTCTTACCTTGATGTTAACTGCTGGCTGATGAGGGAGGTGGTTGCTGAAAGTTGGGATGACTGCATACATTAGTCTTTCCTAAACGAAATCATGGTCCTGTGTAATTGCAGAGCTGAAATTTCTGAAAACCAAACCCAGATTTTCTTGACGTAACTGTCTGACCAACACAAATAGGATTCCCAGCCCTGGGAAGTCTGCTAAAATGAAAGCATTGCATAGCAAGAAATGGATTCTGATCATTGGAAAGGGGATATATGGACACATCTTTTTTGAGAGAGATTTTTTCACTATAGGGAGCATGCGCTCGCTAGACATACAGAGACATAGAGACAGAAAGCGAGAAATCACCTCCCAGGGGGGATGGTCACGCCGCAATCCCTTCTCCATTCCCCTCTTGTGATCTTGGGCATGCACGCACATGCGCCTGGTATGAGTTTTAAGCCACCGGGTCCGGGACGCGAACCGCGGTCGACTATGTGGGAGTCCAGCAACATAGCCATTACGCTAACTGCTGGTTCCCTATGGACACATCTTGATGTGAGGGGACATTCGACTCCTATATTCTCCTGAGACATCTTTGTTAGTAGTTATTCTTGTCTAAGGTTAGTCTTGCTTTGCTCAAGGAACAAGTAATGGCCTCCCCAAAGCAATTGCTTTGGAAGGCACTACTAATTTTCTTTAGGAACTATCCCATACCATACTTCTTGTTCTCAGTTCCTGCAGGTCCTGAAGTATGATGTACAGAGTGTTACATAAAGGTATGCTATAGTCCAGAAGAACTGCAGTTTTCCCAGATTTTAATGGGAGAAGTCAGGGATATGTGTAGATGGATAATAAGGATATACTACAATGACAAAAGGAACAAGTTTATGTCTGCCCATTTATCAATATAGGTTAACTAATGAAAGATTCTGAATTCAATGTTGTATAAACGGGTGCCAAAATGTGTCCTATAATTGCATTTATAATGCCAGAATTATCTTAGTATGCTGTAGTCGAAGGTATCTAAAGTCTTAGGGAGACTGGAATGTTACAGGAATTAACCATGGATTAACTCACCCCATTTGACTATAATTACAAAAATAAATTTGTGAAGGGAGCTTCAGCATTTTTGAAGAGTCCTGTGCTTGTTCTCTTTAGGTGAGAAGTTACAGTGGAAGCTGCTGACGTTGAACTATAATTCTTAAATGCACTGTGTATGGATCATTGATGTCAGGATAGCAGATACCAAGTGGTCAGGTGTAATCACCAAAGACAAGGTTAGGGTGTGGTTACCATAACAGCAGAATCACCAATAATCAGGACAGTTTTAAATCATACTTATATATTATGTTGACTAGTTGATCACTGTGTTTCTAGAGAATAAATTCAGCCTCATTCTATGGGAATACATAAATATTCTATGCCAATGAGACCAGCAGTTGGAGTAATGGCTACATTGCTGAACTCCCATGTAGTCAACCATGGTTCGAGTCCTGGACCTGGTGGCTTAAACTCATGTTGGTGTGTGTGTCCAAGATCCTGAGAGGAGAATGGAGGAGAAGAGATTGTGGTGTGGCCATCCCCCCTGAGGGGTGATTTCTCTTTCTGTCCCTCTGTCTCTTTCTGGTGAGCATATGTGCCCCATAGCAGAGACCCTCCACCCACCCCCCCCAAAAAAAGAAGTCATAACCAAGTAAACAGAAGTTAAACTTTTATCACCTAAACAGTGTCATTCCTCAAACAATCTCAGACATGAACTACGTTATCCCTTGTAAGGAGAGACTAATCCCCTTAATAAGGGCCCAACTATATTGCTAAGATCTTCAAATTATTAAACAGCCAACTTCCCCTTGAGGAACTTATATTTTATTTTTTATAATATGCTGTAGGGCATATGTGCTCACCAGTGAGAGAGAGAGAGGAAGAGAGGAAAAGTGACAAAGCAATCTCCAGGGACGATTGCCACACTGCAGTCACTTCTCCATTCTCCTCAGGATTTGAAACATGCACACACATCTGGCATGTTTATCAAGCTGCCAGGTCCAGGACTTGAACCGTACATTTGGCCACATGGGATCCAGCTGTCTTCAGCATGCCACTGGCTAGCCCACTTTTTTCTCTACCCTAGGATGGTTGTGTGTTGGGGAAAAGGAATATAATCAGATTTTTAATTTTTGAGATATTAACTTAGAGAAGAACTTGAAAAAACATGCATACTTATACCATATAAATTGTCATTTCATTCAGGATACTCAATGAAATTTTCAGGTATCACTTATTTAGTAATCACACAAATGACACAGTCCTTGGAACTGAAATTGCCATTTACTTTTTTTTTTTTTAGGGGTTTTTGCTGTAGGTGCGTACGCTCGCCAGAGACAGACAGACAGCGAGAAATCACCCCCAGGGGGGATAACTATGCCTCAATCACTTCTCCATTCTCTCAGGATCTCGGGCACGCACGCACAGGCGCCCGGCGTGAGTTTTAAGCTACTGGGTCCGAGACTCAAACCACGGTTGACTACATGGGAATCCAGCATCATAGCCATTACGCTAACTGCTGGTCCCTGAAATTGCCATTTAAAAAACAACTTTTTATATGTGTGTGGGCGAGAACACTTGGAATAGGACCTTAACACTACAATCCTTCCTCAGCCAGCCTGGATCATGGGCACACATACCCAATGTATTCACAGAGGTCTCGTAATTCACATTGTAACCTTACCATGTGTGTCTGCCTTGAACTGTGTTTTACCACTGACAAGTATTTGTGAAAAGACTGAAGCAAAAAAATAGAAATCCTAACGTAGTTATAAGTTCATAAAAAGCCTCGTTATTCAGGTACAGGACTCAACTGTTCTCATTTTCCAAATAAACTATTACCCAACATTTTTTATAACCCCAAATGTATATTAATGTACCTACTCTTGGCACATAGAACACCATCATATATTCCCCTCACCTCTAAATGCATACTAAACTCAAAACACTAAATAAAAAATCTCATATGTGACCAAATCAAGTACCATGCACAAACACTACATTCTTAAAAGAACACACTCGGGTCAGGCAAGTGGTGTGGCAGTTAGAAGTGCTGGACTCCCACATGGCCAACTATAGTTTGAGTCTCAGACCTGGTGGCTTTCTTCACTTTTTCCCTCTCTCTCTGTCTCTCCTTGGTCAAGTTCAAAAATAATGAGAATGATAAAATTAAATAAAAATAATTGTTAAAAAAAATACACACGTACATAACACCACAAAATCTGTTAAATGAAAATGAATACCACACCTCAAAGCTTATGTAATTTTCAGTACACTAGTCTCAAGAACACACCATGAGATCTCAGCATTTCTATAAGATACCTACAACACTTAAGACCACCAGAAGACATGGAGAAAGATAAATACCATCGTCTGTATCTCCCAAATGATTCAGTCACTAAGTGGATTGACATGTATCTCATATTGCCAAAACTCAAGCATCCTATGTTATTTCTTTCAAGAAATTACTCTAAAAATGCACACAAAAAACCCCAACACTCTCCAATATTCCTACAGTGAAGACTCTCACCCCAAAGTCCAGTGTAAACATCTGCAAAGTGAATAGTAGAGCACATCCTGATAGATGGATCCTCTGAATGCCTGGACTACTCCATTGCAAAACAGTAATGCCATACGTGACCTCCACTCTGTAATGCAGGTCTACAAGTGTACAGAGTCAAACCTGACTTCTTGGTTTCCTTATGCTGTAGTGTGTGTAGGGAGAGGGTGCCTGTTACCTTCTGCCCATGTGTGTCCTTGAACTGAAATACCCAGAGAATTCTGTTACCTGCTGGTACCTCTGTCCTTCCACCCTGTAAGAGGTAGTTTGCTAATGTCCATGACTACCCAAGGTGAATATTCCCAGCTGAATTGCTCAGCAAGTAATGTTCCTATTTATGATTTTTTTCTCACCTATATCTATATTTGATAGTGGATCAGGTGGGCATTGGAAGACAATTTTTTTTTTGGTCAAA